CACAAATGATTATGAAGCAATTAGCAACAATGAACCAGATTCTAGGTAGCCGGTGGCTAAGTGCCAGACCTGCATGGAGTTATGAAACAAGATGATGAGAGAAAACATGGCTTTCAAAAATGAATAGCCACGTGGGTATGCTTAAAAAAACATTCTAGCAAAGGGAGTGGCTGAGTTTTAAGTCAGTGGCTAAATTTTAGTCATCTTACTAAATCATATAAGTTATTTTGCAAAAGGAAGAATATAAAGGTAACAGAGTGACCCCTAGGGGCTTCACCCTTCACAGAGGCCAGTGTGTAACTCCAAAGAGTGAGTAGAAGTCAGTGTGGGGTATGCAGAACAAATAGCTGTGGTAACTAGGAATGAAACAGTGAACCACTGCCTCCATGCTCACGGCTCTGCAGAATCAAGGTGATATGGTAAGACCACGCTGTCTCCTTTGTCTTTATTCTTTCCTGAATGAAAATCTACTTAAAGAAACAGTTCAAATATTTCTTCTTGCCGTGTGTGTGTGTGTGCGTGTGTGTGTGTGTGTGTGTACATATGGTATATACTAACCTCTGTATGGCTATAGACATATGTGCATAGGTGCACATGCACATATGTGTAATGTGTTTGGGATACAGAGGTAGACATTAGTCAACATTACTCACTCTATATTTTTTATGTTTTGAGACAGTATCTCTTTTACTAAGCCTGATCCTTATTGGCTGAGCTGAGCTGAATGGTCTGTGAGATTCATGGATATCTGTCTGTCTCCTTCACACCTGCCCCTTGCTGACGCTATGGGCATGCTCAGATCCTTATAGTTGTGAAACAAGCATTTTACCAACAGAGCCTTCTCACCACCAGTAGATAATGTATTTATATTCCCAGAAAAAAAAGAAAACATTATTCTTCACCAAACTTTGAAGAGAGCTTTGTTGCCATCCCTCCTGTAATAGTTTTTGGGTGTATTTTTTTTTTCATATAAGATGCAAGAGTTTCAGGAGCTTACTTGCATTGTTATGAAGTATTTGGTTTGGTGCCAAAAGCACATGAAACATTGAATATGGGGGGGGGGACAATGATGGAAGAAAGAGAAAGACAGGTAAATATAAATGAAATGTGTTCATATAATTGTGGTGCATTTGACCTCTGGGGTGTTCAGATACCAGGAATTTCAAAGAATGGAAGCAAAAAATGGAAACAGGCATGTGACAGAAACTTACATATTCAAGTATCCAGTACTGTCAATGTATCCCTTGATCCTTGCTGCTCTTGAATGCTTCAGAGATGCTCTTTGTCGGTGGTTGAAACTACAGAGCTAGGAAGATTTCTCAGTCAGTGAAATGTTTGTCTTTTGAGAACGAGGATCCAAGTTTGATACTTAGCATTCACATAAGAAGCTGAGTGTGGTGGCACAATATGTTTTCTTGTACTCTTTCCTCGGAGAATACATCCTGATATGAGCCTCCCCTCCCTTCATTCCTCCCCCCCCCCAACTTTTCCTCTCCCCCGGATCTACTACCCTGCTGTTTCCTTTCATTAAAGAGACTTCCCAGTGATGTAAACTAAACACAGAAGAACAAGATGCAGTAAGTGTAGGCACAAACCCTCAAAACAAAGGGGGATAAGCCAAATAAGGAAGAAGAAAAAGGTCCCAAAAGCAGGCGAAAGAGCCAGAGACAACCCCCACTCCAACTTTGGGAGTTGCACAAACATCCAAAGTTAAACAACCACAGCATTACATAGAGGACTTAGCACAGACCCACGCAGGCTCCGTGATGGCTTCAGTCTCTGTGAGCCCCTATGACATCTGCTCAGCTGATTTCATGGCTCTGTTTGTGGTCCCCTTGGCCCCTCTGGCTCCTACAATCCTTCCTCCCTCTATTCTGCAGAATTTCCTGAACTCTGCCTAAAATTTGGGTGTGGATCTCAGCTCCTGTTCCCATCAGCTGCTGCGGGAAGCCTCTCTGGTGATGATTGGGCAAGGAACCAATCTGTGAGTATAACCTAATATCATTAGGAGTGGCTTCTTTGCTTGTTTTCTTTTTTGTTTTTGGTCAGTTGAGTTCGGTTATACTCTGGGTCTCTGGGGCTATCCAGGCGGTGTCTGGCATGGGCTGTGTTTGATTATACTCTGGGTCTCTGGGCTATCCAGGCGGCGTCTGGCATGGGCTCTGCTCCCTCTTGTGGCTTGGGCCTCAAGCTCGATCAGTCATTGCTTGGTAACTCTCAGGAGCTTTCAGCCACCGTTGCCCCGGCACAACTTGCAGGAGGGACTAATGTGGGTCAAAGGTTTTGTGGCTGTGTTGGTGTCCCAGTTGCATTACCGGGAGCCTTGCCTATTATAGAAGGTTTCAGGCTCCTTATCTTCCATTACTAGGAGTCTCCCTAGGGTCACTCTCATAGATTCCAGGAAGTTTCTGCTGTACTAGATTTCCACATCACTCCCTAAATGGGGCCCTTATTCCAGTTGTCTCTCCCTCCATGTTTCCCTTTCCTATCTGATCCCTCTTGGTCACATCCACACCTGCCCTCAGTCCACCCATAAAATCTACTCTATTTGCTCATCCCAGAGAGCCCTCTTTGTTATTTAGCCTCTCTGGGTCTATGGATTGTAGGCTGCTTGTCTTGTACTTTACAGCTAATATCCACTCATGAGTGAGTACATGCCATGTTTGTCTTCCTGGGTCTGGGTTGCCTTGCTCAGGATGGTTTTCCCTACTTTCATTCTTTTGCCTTCAAATTTCATAATGCCATTTTTTTTTTAGCAGCTGAGTCATTCTCCATTGTAAAGGTACCACATTTTCTTTACCCATTTGTCAGTTCTTTCCATTCATCCAAGTTCTTTCCAGTTTCTGTCTATACTACATCCTTGTGGTAGGATGCAATATCTTTTGGTTATATGGTTAGCACTTGAGGTAGATCAAGTCCCATTTTCCAAAGGAACCAGGTGGCCCACACTTTGAAACTTAGTACATGGAAGGTGGAGAAAGCAAGCAGACAGTCTAATCACTAGCCCCAGGTCTTGCTAATCCACCCTGTTTAAACAAACAAACAAACCAAAAATGATGAGTAATTCCTGATGAATCACAATGAGTCATCCCCTGACCTCCACACACATACACATATGTTTTTGTGTATACATGTACATACTCCAGAATATGCATACATAAGCAAGAGAGCATCTTTCAGTGTGTCCTTGTCCAGATGACATCTTAATAATTTTTGGCAATGAAAGTTCTCACAGTCTGCCTCAGATCTTTCTTTAAGACAGATTCTGATTTATATGCTATTTGGAGAGATCCTGATATTAAAAAAAAAAAAAAGTGTGCTTACATTGGTGTGATTATGGTTGGCCAATAGCTGATGGTCATTGTTTCTCATCTGAGCTACACACATAAGCAGTTCTGTGACTCCCCTCCAAAGAGACCCACTTTCCCAGACAATGAAAGCAGAACAGCTATCCTAGCAATTTGAAATCTCCTCCTTAGTTACAAGATTCAAAATTTAGCCCTGTCCCAGTGTCTGCATGCTCTCTCTCTCTCTCTCGCTCGCTCTCTCTCTCTATGTCTCCCTCTCCCTCCACTCTCTCTGTGGTGTGTGTATGCTTGCTTACTCTCCTTATAACTTTCTTTGCAGCAGAGTCCATCACTGAACCTGAGCTCACCCTATCAGCTGGGCAGAGAGTCCCAGTAACCCATATGCCTTGTACCTCTCAGATTCAGGATTTCAAGAATGCCCTTCCAGCCTGGATCTTTACTTGTATACTGGAGATTCTAACTTAGGTTTTCATGGCCTTCAATAAAAGTGCATTGCCAATGCAACCATTTCCTGTGTACCTCCATAAGCATACTTCTTGAGTCATTGTTAATATTTTAGGACATTTTTGCCAATTTTTGCAGCTTCATGTCTAATTATTTCCATATCTTATGTTTGAAACAGCGGCCCGTTTAGCATATGTAACCATGTACATATTTTAACATTATATACATTATACTGAATGGTTACCTCCTTACATTCTTGCCTCCTACCCTATCCTAAAGGCATTAGTCTTCAGCTGACATTAGCATTGCGCATATTGACAAGTTCCATGGGCTTTCTTTCCAACGAACTGTAGTTTAGATAATTGGAATCCTTATTCTTAGAAGCAGGCTACGCTGAGGGATCTTTTTCTCTTCTTCTCTACTTAAGAATTCATAGCTGTGTTAATTTAGCATCCCTCCTCATTATACAGCTTCTGAGTAGGTTATATGGACATGATGAACAATAAATCAGATGGCAAGGCCTATATTGCTCATGACATTTTAATAGTATTAATCTGGGGTAGCTTTTAATTGTCCATTCTACAGCATTTAATGCTATGAAGATATAGATGTTTCCATTATTCTAATTGTATTTCAAATAAATGTATGGCTCAAATTTTCCATCCAACCCTCTTAAACAAGGCTAATTTAGAGATGTCTCTACTCATGAAAAATGAATTATTTTACAGCAAAACCTTGATTAATAGCACCAGAAAGCAGAAGAAATCTCAATGAATTTCACATTACCTATACTTAGGTTGCCAGAAAATTTCCATGAAGGAAGGATGGGCATGCCTAGTCTCACTGTGAAATTAAATAACAAAATTTTAAAAAGATGCAAACCCAACAATTACACCTCACCTTTTGCCTTTTATTTCTGTAACCTTCCTAAGGGAAAAAGAGATGTTCATATCAGCTTGTGGTCCTGTAATATTTTTAGTTATAAGGCAAAATCTCAATAGTTTTTAAAGTTGTTTTTAAGACAACAAATATATTGCTGTCTTTTTAAAGCAGTGTCCCACAAGTCTGTGGAGGTGGAGACAAAATGTGTTGGGAAGTGATCAAGTCAATGAACTGCCAAGGATAATCAAACCTTTATTTTAGTTATGGCACATGTTATCTCATGTAATAGAAAATGTGAAGATTCCAGGTGTTGATACCTTGCATAGTAAGCATAAAAATATGAAGATATGAGTGTGCGCTGCGTTCCGCGCCGCGCCTGGCGGCACCATGGGTTCCCTCTTTGAGCGCGCCACGCTGAGGGCGTTGTTGTGCGAGCCATGCATTCCAGGCCTGCTGGTGCGCCCCAAATCCGGAGGGCCTTCCTGGCCACAGGAGCAGACCCGGGTTGCTGTGAAGCCAGATGGGGTGCAGCGGAGGCTAGTGGGGACTGTGATAGAACGCTTTGAGAGGCGGGGGCTTCAAGCTGGTGGGGATGAAGATGTTGCAGGCACCAGAGAGCATTCTTGCTGAGCACTACCGGGACCTACAGAGGAAGCCGTTCTACCCAGCCCTTATCAGCTACGTGAGCTCTGGGCCTGTGGTGGCCATGGTCTGGGAAGGGCACAATGTGGTCCGCATCTCAAGGACCATGATAGGACACACTGACTCAACCGAGGCAGCCCCTGGGACGATCAGGGGAGACTTCAGTGTTCACATCATCAGGAATATCATCCACGCTAGCGATTCTGTGGAAGGAGCCCAGAGGGAAATCCAGCTGTGGTTTCAGAGCAGCGAACTGTTGACCTGGGCAGATGGGGGTCACCACAGCAGTTGCTGCCCAGCCTGAGGCTTTGAACTACCCTCCACACTTCAGGGTTCATCCATGAACAACTACCTCTGCCAACAAGAACTCAAACCCACACCCTTCCCATCTCCCAAACCACTCCCTGGTTAGACCTTTTGTCTAACTCCAGACCAGGGGAGTCTAAGCCTCAACTTTATGTGCTTTTTTGTATCCTAAGACAGCACAATATTGGATCATATTCTTCTATACTGAAGTGCCAGACACGCTTTGGGACATTGTCAGAGGTGATTTCACTTGCCCCAAAGGAGAGACATTAAAATTTTCTGATTAAAATGGGAATGGCATACTTAAAAAAATATGAAGATATGAACTATTTTAATGTGGCTCATTAATTTGCAATCTCTAAACATAGGACCAATGGTATCTTTAGATGTCTCCGGTTGTGTTATCAGATGGAATCAATCATATTATAAGAAGGGTTTCCACGACAGTAACCAGGCTACAATGCATTCTTGACTTTCTGACAGAACTTGGTATGTTTTTGTTTCTGCAATAAATAGTCTCAGAGAGAAGATTGTAAACCTTCCAAAGCAATCAAAGAAACTTTTTAGTTTTATCTCTCCATCTGGCTGCCTGTTTCTGAGATTTTTAGTCTGTATCAAGATTCGGTACCAAATTATTTGGGTCCAAGTTTGAAAGGAGCTTTGCCTTGCCTACTTCACAGCCAAAAGTTGGAGGGGACAAGACCGGTATTCTGATCCAGAAAGGCAGATTGCAGAAGATTTACAAGTGTTTAAGCAGCAGTATGTCAGGGACCCAGGGAACAAACTGAGACCGAGAGTTTGAAATGAGAGATTTGAGGTCTACAGCTCCAGACAAACACCTGCAAGGGACAGCCAAGAAAGCATGAAACCAAATGAGTCAACGTGCCAGGCAAAGTGGCTAGGCACTCAGAGATTTCCGGAAACTGAAGCAGATGGAGAATTTGGAAAGCGGCAAAGAGTATTTGGAATTAGATGACAGGAAAATACCAACGGAAAGGCATCTGATAGTTGAGCTTTCATATATGTGGTCTCTCTGATGTCCCGAATCTCCCCACTTCTCGCCATCTGTACTGTATGCTCTCCTAACTGTATCATTTCCATAAGCCCCGATTTCCCAAAGTCATTGTACTAAGTCTTGCTATGTAGAAGATTCCCTTTATGGTCCACCAGACACCTGTCACAAGAAAGTGCATGTGTTACTCCTTCATCGGTTTAAAACAGAGTGTGGGATAGGGCGGGCCATAGCTTCCGCAAACTCTTCAGATATACCTGCTGGCATAGGAGGACTCCTTAAAAGTAGCACATCCAGTGTTTGATCAGTGGAAATGTACAGAAGGCTGGGTCCCTTGTTTTGAAGTGGCAGAAGTAGGTTTGTTTATTGCACACTCTAGAATTTGTGCTAAGATTGAACTGAGCGAATACGCTGTAAGATTTTTGTCAGCTTGACCCAAGCTAAACTTGTCTAGTACAACTAAAGAAATCAATTGAAAATATTAATTGAGAAAATGTCTCCATTCGATTGGCCTGCAGGCAAATCCGAGGGACATTTTTTTAGTTAATGACTGATGTGCAAGGACCCAGCTTTCTCACCCCTGAGCAGGTGGTTCTTGATGGCAGAAGAGAGCAGGCTGAGCAAGCCATGGAGAACAAGCCAGTGAGCAGCTCACTGCCGTGGCTTCTGCTTCAGCTCCTGTCTCCTGGTTTCTGCTCTATTTCTGTTCCTGCCTGGCTTCCTTAGGTGATGAGGATGTTTAGGTGAATGAAGCCTTTCCTCCCCAAGCTGTGCTTGGTCAATGTGTGCATCTCTGCATTAGAGAGCAAGATAGTACAGCGAGGAGAGTTGCCAGTTAAGCCAGGTCTTTGCTGGCCCTTTGTCTGCAAGGGCATTTAAGTTCGTATGTCCTATGAGCGCTGGCTAGTCCTCTCCTTTCCCCTCTCCATCCCCCTTTCTTCTCTCCCTTTTCCCCATTCTTTCCTTTTTCTTCTTCTCTCATCTTCCCTTTCCTCTCTTTGCTTCTCTTTCCTTTTCCTCCCTTACTGTACTTCCCCCCTCCCAGTCTTCACCAGTTTCTCAATCTCCTCTCTCTTGTCTTTCTTCCCTAGGAACTGTAAGATATTCTGACATTATTTGCTGCCCTGGAGACCAAGTGAATATAGTCATTTGACTTAGGAAAATGGCACATGATTTGCCAAAGTTATATTTTTAATTTCATTCTGGGACGAGGACATTTCACATCATTCTAACAAGTAAGATTCATTTCCAAGAGAGAAATGGAACAAGTCGGTTTGACTTGTTTTAAGGATCAACTGTTAGGCTAGTTTTTTCCCAAAAGTTCATCTTAGAAAAATATTTGGGAGATCTGAAAAGCGCATTTATTTGAAATCACTCCGAGGAAATTAAGATATTTAGTAACAGCAAAGATTACTTCTAATTGTGGGCTTGGTGCAATCTAGAATCAGGCTGGCTCTGGGCACATCTGTGGGGCTCTGTTGGTTATGTTAGCTGAGGTGAGAAGATCCAGATTGAAAGGGGGAAGTGTGCTTCCCTGGGTTTGGGTCTTGGACTGGATAGAAAACAGAGTGGGCTGAGCACAATATCCTAAATTCACTGTCCTGTGTTGGCTGTACATGTCATGTGAGTAACGGTTACATTGACTCCCACTACAAGGGACCATCACTGTCAACTGTGACCCCAGATCAACCCTGTCTTTTCCAGAGTGTGTTCTCACAGCAACAGAAATAGGGACACGAACAAACAAATGAAAACCAAATGATCATATTTGGGGACCAAGAATATATTAGGGTAACTAACATGTCCTTTTGAGCACATAGACTTTCCATTGGTGTATCCCTGATTATTTCAGATTCTTATTGTCAGTCAAGTTGTGTCATTTTCTCCATATCACATATGAAAACAGTGGGGCTCAGATATCTTAACTATTTATCCTTATAGGACTAGTTAATCCACTGACTTTAACACTTTCTGACCCCATGCCCTTGTACTTTGCAATGACATTGATATATTTATGAAAGATATTCAAGAAGCTCTAATTGAACACATCAGATAACAAGAAAAATAAAATGTCTTAGTGTGTAAAAGGATTTGGAAACTTACAAATAAGCTTTTCCTTTCAGAACATGATCCTCCCCAGGTCCCTCATATTCCTACATAGTCAGCTCTGAGAAAAGGCACACACAGTTAAATAGGTTTGTATAAGAGGACATCCTTGCTGGGCAGTGGGACACACCTTCCATCCCGGCACTTGGGAGTCAGAGACCAGCAGATCTCTGAGTTTGAGGCCACCCTGGTCTACAGAGTGAGTTATAAGACAGCCAGGGCAATACAGAGAAATCCTGTCTCAGAAAACTGGGGAGAAGAAGATAAAGGAGGAGGAGGAGGACAGCAGCAGTAACAACAAGAACAAGGAGCCATCTTAATATAATAAAGTGCTGGAACTGTGCTTTCCTCTGGGGAGATTTGCTTACCTTTCTAGGCAATACTTACCTAAACGTCTTTCTGTTGCATTGGCTTGCGTCTTGCATGTGTGTTAATTCCTTGCTCCTCCCTATGATTTAGTAGCTGGCGAGAAGCAACTAAAAGGGAAAAGCAGAATTTATTTTGGTTCAAGTTCTGGGGGAATCCAGTGCATCATGATGGGAAAGGCATGGTCCATAGGAAGCAGAGGTGGCCATATCAATGCAGACTATGAACCCTCAGTGTTGACCCTCCTGCAAGCCATTGCCTCTGCCCTCATATCCTAAAAGAAGCCATGGACTCCTAAAACAGCATGGGCAGTTGGGGACAAAATTCTCAAATCCATCTGTCTGTGAGGAACGTTTTCACTTATAAATCATAAGATGGAACACAAAAAAGTAAAAATACAGAGTCTGATATTGGAGTTCAAGCTTTACACTGACGATCAGAGAAGCCAGTGGACCTTACCTCTACCAAACCGAAATGGCAATCCTGTCTCCACGAATCCTCAGAGGCAAAAGTTCTGAGTCCCTGTCTCCTCCTCCTTTTATTCCTTTCTTCCTGCAGCCTTATCACTCCCATGCCACCTCCCTAGTGCTGGGAATAGAAGCATGTGATCCCAAGTGCTGGGATCAAAGGCATGAGCTCTGTTACTCTCCACTCTTGTGTAGGCCAGGGTGGCCTTGAACTCAGAAAGATCCATCTGCCAGTCCTGAGTCTTGGGATTAAAGGTGTGTGCCACCACTATCTGCCTCTACGGCTTGCTAGTATGGCTGTTGAGATTAAAGGTGTGTCTCATCATTGTCTGACCTCTATGGCTTATGGCTAGCTTTGCATTCTAAACCGTCAGGCAAGCCATAGTAAATTATAAATAGTGTATCACCACAATAGCACACTTTTCATAAGATATTAATTTCCTGAGCTCAGCTCTCCCAATGCGACACCGAATGCTGTGAGCACAGCATCTTCCTGGCTTTCTGAATGTCATCCCTGTGGTATTCGGAGGCAAGAGGACCTGTATGCGACCTGCAGTTAGGACAAGAATAAACTGTACCAGGTCACTTGAGACCATTGGCTCCATATCAGCCAATAATTTACAAATGTAATAACCTCTGCTTTATTACTATGTATTTTAGATAGATCTCATGGATCTCACCTTGGTGTCGAACTCCCTATTTAGCCTAGAATGTCCTGGAACCCCTGGTCTTGTTGCCTCTTCTTGCCAGTGCTGAAATCACAGGTGTCTACCATCATGCCCAATTGATGTAGTGCTGGGGCTGTAAGTCAGGACTTCAGGCATGCTGGGAAAGCACTCCACCAGCTGAACCACACCCCCAGCCTGGAAGTCAATTGAATGGCTTCTTACCAAGCCACTAATTAAGAGCATGCGATGATCCATTCCTAAGAATTCAGAACTGGAAGTACAGGTTCTAGGAAGTCTTTGAACAAGAAAGCAGGTGTGTGTTATTTTCTTTTAATAGAACACATTTCCTTCTTTTTTCACACCGATCTGGAATATAGCCCAGAGAGGGAAAAAATGGCAGCAGAGTTGGCTGGGGGAGACAAGAAGTCTCAGGAACAACAGTGTGCTGGCTGCTACTTTGCCAGCCTCATCTGAGG